GAGTTATAGGGAAGAACGATTCTGATGAACATCCAGGTAAAACCCTTGAGCTGTTTGCCTTTATGAAAATGTAGAAGGGCAGGAAGCAGTTTAAGTAAATAGCGCACACTTATCTTTATGTCTTTATACCCATAGTTAGGTTTTACAAAATGCTTTTCAGTGTGTTTCTCATTCACCCTTTCACAAACCAATGGCAAAAAAATCTGCCATGCAAGGTAGTGGCCTGCCATCAGGGGCAAGATTGGGTTTGGTGTTTTGTCCAAGGACACTTTGGCACAGCGATTGAGCTACCAACGGATATATACACGAAACTGTAAGAGGCAAATTATTTTTACTCTTTATTGGAACTGAAATGTGGATTATGACATAAACAACAAAAAACATCAGACATGCCCTTTAATACTTAGTTCTGCATTAATCTGATACATGTGGTACGTTTCGGTAATGTTTCGCTGTAGAAGATGAGTAACGCCTCTAAAAACAAGAAGGACCACGAGACATGAAGCCAAAAATCTATTTAAGTGTTTCTTGAAACAAGAGATTCCAATGCAATCAATGCAAAACCATCTATCGGCACATCCCAAAATATTGCCTGAGTAAGTAAGAACTCAAACATGTTCATGTAACAGAACATTACTGAAATGTTGTGTCAGTTTTCTACAACCTTTGCTGTGTTCATTTTGTCGATTGTAAAGATTTTTTGGGGGGGTTTTAGACTGTTTGTCAGTCAAAACAACAAGAAATCCAGCACAATAAGCTGAGAAGGCCATATTACCCCAATCTAATTTTCCTTCATATATATTACGATAACTAATGTATTATTTAAGAAAAAGTAATCATCTGAGTAATAAATTATGAAGACAATCATTAGTTGCATCTCTGTATGCATTTAATGGAAGAACCTGATGGCTTGTAGCTCCATGCTGATGATGTTATGACAATAATGGGTTCCTCTGTTCATCTCTCAGTGTCGTCTTCTGGTTTGACGAGCGGAGTCAGATGAAGTGAGTGCAGGGACGCCGCGGTGGACCGTATGCACAGAGGTTCAGCTATTCTGCCTTCGGCCAACCATCAGGGGGTTCCTCTCTTAGCTCCGTGGCATAATTGGCAAACCGTGCGGTGTCATCTTACCCTTCTCTTTCAATGCGGCCTTTTTTGCCCCCCTCCTCCCTTCCCAGAAAGGGTGGAGAGCGAGAGAGCGAGTCTTTTTCTCAGATGCCGGTTTTGGTTTGCCGCAACAGTCCATTGACAGTTTGGCTCAAAAAGCGGCTACATACTGAGCTTCATATATCTGGGTCAGGGTCTACTAATGTAGGTGACAGGGGGATCTGGGGATTAAAACCTCTTTATCTGCCTTTGCATAAATCCCGCTTTATAGCCTACACTTCAGCTTTAGCTAATATGATTTGTATTGTCACCAGTTTGCCTGCAGGCTAGCTATATTTGATCTACGTGGATGCCAACCGCGGACCTTTCGCAGAGGCTCTTTTTGCTTTTGTGCGGATCGGCCATTTGAGCAGAGGGCGGGTAAGTGATGAGACGCACATTGTAGCTGACGTGAAAGATCTCAGTTCAAGCTGTTAGTCACTGGACAACTGTATCTTGCACGTATCCACGCTTCGGTTCTGCAACGTGAATGTAACAGTTGAGCAATGTTCTCAGGTTGTTGTTTGTCTGCACCTGCCAACTCATCTCTGAAATCACATTACTTTTTTTTATATATATTTTTTTAAGCACAGTAATTCCCTTATCTGTAATGCAAATAAATACTTTCCAAAGACTGATCCATTGTGTCAGACTACCTCTAACGATCTTCTCTGCAGCAAAGTGCATTGTGGGATAACCCTTGTCAATGCGAGGCCTTCTCCAGATGGACCGAGCGGCTCAGGTTACACCGCATTTTTCAGTGCCCCCTCTATCCAGCAGCCCCCCTGGCCCCTTTCTCCATCTCTCTCTGCCTCACAAACACACACACACAGTTTCCTGGGTGGGTAGAGTTGAGCTGAGACAGTGCTTCGCCTGTGTTCTAATGCAGGCTCCAGAGCATTAGTGAAATAAGATTATCATCGTTCTTACGCAGTGTCTGGGTTGGAGGTGGACAGAGGTGTGAGATGGGAAGGTGAGGAGGCCATTATTAGACTATTAGACTACATTACGGTGGAAGACGCTTCATCAGCAGCGTGTCGGCTCCAGATGTATATTGAAATTGATTTAGTTTTTTTTAAAATGGAATGCATTATTCTCAGAGTTCCACAGAATAGAAAACTCTTTTCATCTGACGTCAGCGGGGCAACCATAAAGGGATTTTTTTTTTTTCTTTATTGAAAGGAATACCTTAAATGTGCAGGTTACAGAGGCCATTTCCTTGCATGAGTTGTGGCCCAACCCTTTTGGTCAGGCAGAGGGGTAGAGCTTATGTCTTGTTCGAGCAAGAGGGGGCTTGGACTGCAAGCAGTTTGCCCATATGTGTGCGTGCCCAGTGTGTGTGTGTGTGTGTGTGTGTGCAGGGCCTGGGATGCACGTATTAAGAAACGATTAGTGGAGATTAAAGCTCTGCCCTAGAGTCTGCTTGCACGACTCCAGGCAACAAGAATGACCAACCCCTCCCTTCTCCTCACCCCGCAGTGCCCCCTGTGGAGCCGCAGAAGCCCCGGCCGAAGCCGAGGCCGCCGGGCCAGGGGGAGGATCGATAGGGCTACCTCTTCCCTCTTCCCAGTGATCTTCCACCACTAAATATATTGGCCCCCTTAGAACAGAGTGCGAGCACTCACGCTGCAGCCCCGACCGCCTAGATTGGATGGTTGTAATGACTTCCAATCAGATTCAAAGTCGGTTGATGGATGTGATGATTGGAAGAGTGCATTGCGGTGTGGTGCATGATGATGTAACAGTGTCACACACACAATGCAGCACTTTATAAAACAATAACTATGAGGCTTAACTGCTTGAAATGCAGGTAAAGTAACCAACAAATATATGTATTCATACAGAACATCTTTCCCAAGTATTTTAGTTTTTCATAGTTAAACACAATTCTGAATAAATATGTTACAAATAACAGAACTTGCCTACTGTAAAGATAAAAATTAAAAGTGAGTTATGTACAAGGAGGGTCTAAAAAGTTAGTTAAAGTAATGAATACATAAAAAGTGTACTGTTGGCAAATATTACTTTTAAATTAAATGTCTCAAAAAGCTTCATTTTCAATTTGAAAATTAGTGTAGTGTAAATGATTATTAAAAGACAATGTAGTAACATAAAAACTGAAGTATTTATGTTTTTAAAAATGTAATAATTATAGGACACGGTGGATGGAAGTGACAACATTAGCTCTGTCCTGTTTTGAACTGGTGCTAATTCAATTCAGGTTCAGCTTTAGTCACACAGTTAAAAGGTTTCAATGCACTCTGTGTGAGTGTTACTGAGTGGATGGAGGCGCAGAGGGCGACAGAGATGGAGGAGGGAGAGACTTAGGTAGCACGAGGTGCAGACCTTTTTCCAAGAAAGCACGCTAATAAGGCCTCTAATCTGCAGTGACACTTTGCATGCGTGCCACACACCTCCAATGACAACACAAGCCTCCTCCTTCCTGCGTGGACCCTCACCACGTACTCCACCTCACCGTGGGGGTCCCAATCTGAAATGACAAGATGTGGTGGAAAAGAAACAAAATAAAATGGGATCTTTTCATCTGTGTGAATGCAACCTGGTTCGGGCTTTAATCTGGAGGAAGAGCGGGATATACACTGACGCCTGATAGATTAAGGCCTGAACGCTTCTCTCTCTCTGTTCTACTCTGCAACAGAAGGGCCCTGCTAGCAAATCCCAGGCTTTAAAGCAGCGGAGGTTCGGACAGCTTATGATGTAATCAAGGCCCTGTCTGTCACGGCAGGAAAGGTGGGGGAGCGATGCAGAGGAAAGTGTGGAGGTTAAAGGGTTGTGTGGCAAGTGTACGGATATGAATAATGTGGGACTCTACAAAAAAAAAAAAGAAAAAAAAGAGGAACAAGGCTGTGAAGTTGCCATCTGTGAATACCAAACATAAAGGTTGTGTGTAGAGGTGCAGAGGTGGGAGAAGGTCACTTGTTTGCAGGATTTAAGTGTGCAGTCAGATTTCAAGGCTAATATCTGGAGTATAGTTATTTATAGATGAATAACTAAAATATCAGAAGGTGAAGCACGTCTAGATTAGTGACTTTAATGAAAGTGAAATGTAACATTATATACAGCCTCGACTGCTTCACTGATGAGATGCTGATTCAAACCAAACAGGCTATAATGTCGTAACACTGGAATTTTATCAACATAATTTTTAATTTTGGAAACGTTATTGTGTAATTGAATGTGAAAAGTCAAAAATAAAGTTCATTTTTGACATGTTTAAGGACTGATGAGCCATCAGATTGAGTCTTTACTTCTATTAAGTACTTTTAAGAAGCACTACAGTTTCAAACTGAAGAACCAAAACACAGTAAGAAGTTGACAGATTCACAGCACACATTGTGTCACTGGCATCTAAAGTTCAGGAGTAATGCTTCATAGAAAATTATGTTGGCAATATGTTTGTATTTACGTGATAAGTGTAAAATTTGTGCTACTTGAAGCTCAATTTTGGTCTTCCAGAAAAAGATCTGCACCTACCTCTCTAAATTTCTGTTTCTGTGTGTATGTTCATTAGCTTTTTTCAGTATATGGCCACGTAAAGGGGTTGAAAAGAGTTGAGAGACTTAACTATAAACTATATGTGTACAGCAAATATTAAAAATTGTCTAGGGCCACCACTATAGCTCAGCTGGTTGAGCTGGTGACCCATGCAATGGGGCTATAGTCCCAGATGCAGCGCTTGTGGGTTCGAATCCAGCCTATGGCCATTTGCAGCAGGTCCCTCCCCCATTCTTCTCCCCACTTTCCTGTCTCTCTCCACTGTCCTGTCAAATAAAGGCAAATAGGCCGAAAAAATAACTAGAAAAAACCAGAAAATGTCTTGAAGACCAGCCTTATCACATGCAGATATTTTATTGTGAAAAACACTTTAGCATTCCATGTTTTCAGCAAATAACTGAGAGAGCAACTGTTTGAATGGTGAACAGCAGCCATTTTATTGGACAATATTTTTTTCAAATACAAGTCTGGTGAGAGTTAAACTGACTGTTACAGCTGCATCAAACTAAGTTGATTCCTGCCAAGCGTTTTGTTTTGTTGTTTTTTTTGGGGTTGCAAAATACTGCAGCTCCAAGTACGACCAACGTCCCGTCATTTACAAAGTGATGTGGACCACCGAGTCTTCAGTGACATACAAAGGAGTTCGTGTTAAAAACAACATACCAAGGGGGTGCGCTCCTCCTATCCATGCACTGGGAAAGAAACAAGATTTGGTAAACAAAAAGACTGCTTCAAGAAGTCAAGCTCAGCAAATCCAGCGGTAAAAAACACCTTCATGTACTGTGTTATCCTGAGTCTTCGCAAATTTTGGCATGTGCGTGGACTACAGTGGAACAGAACAGGGAACAGAACATGACAAGACGATACTCCAACATAATATTTTATCATCTAACGTGAGAAAAATGTCAGGGAGTGTCTACAGCTCAGATGCTGCTCCGGAGAGATTCAGGTGGAAATCTTAGAACAGTGATGATAGAGGGGGTGGGGACAGGGAAACAGAAAAGGAGTGATTTCTGACTATGGCACTGAATTTTTAATGTATCCTAGAAACAGAACAGTCAAGAACACAGAAGATACCGAAAAAAAAATCCAGAACAATGATAGGTAACACACTCTTGAGTGAAGCAGTGGTGGCTTTCCTCCTGGGCTTTTTGGTTCGTCATTGTTTTAAGTAAAGGTTAATTGTAAGGAAATAAATATTTAATACTCCACAAACACAGAGCTTTAAAAAAAAAACAAAAAAAACCAACATGAAGCTAAATGGGAAAAATAAAATAAAATTAAAAAAAAAAAAAATGACACCAACAAAAGCAATATCTTTACATAGTAAACACAATGCATTAATAACTTCCTTCCCCTGCAGATGTACATTTAAAAATATATTTGACATTGTACACAGCGACAGTGACGTCTTGGAAAACCGAGATAGATAAACAAATCTCCAAGGTGGCCTTTTCAGTGCTTTTCTACTCCTTCCAAGGTTCCCGAATGTCACTGCTCCAGGGTCACAACCTCCACCGCCTGGCCGTCCAGTGTGACAGTGTTATCTATGCGTGTGGCGACAGGTGCCATGGCAACCTGGACGGGCCGGTTGCCCTGAGCGAGGCTGGTCACGACGGTCTGGTACATGCTGACTGGGATCTGGACCAGACCTGAGGGGGAAAAAAAAAAGAACATGTTGGAGCTGGACGCAAAACACAAACTGAGCTTCTGGGGTCTATTTTAGTTATTAGATAAAACACTGGTGTCGATTCAGAGGAAATGATGTTGAGAGTTTATGTTGCACGCTGTGTTTGGGAGGCCGTCGAGTCCAGGTAGGTGTCTGTGACAGGGGGCAGCCATGTTACACAGAAGGCATTTCTGAACAATGGTCCGATTGAGCGTCCTCGGCTCGCTTCCCCCTTTCCCAGCTGTGTGTGTGTGTGTGTGTGTGTGTCTGCCTGCCTGTGGGGATTATTGCTGCAGTCACGTGGGCCTCTGCCCCACCCTGCAAGCTGTCACAGTGTCACAGGCAGGCAAGAAGGTCAGTGCAGGGGATGGCGGTGGCTCATGCCCGCTCCCATTACGCTGAGCTTAGACGCTGGACATTAAACGCAACAAGTACACATTAATACATTTTATAGCCCAGGCTATTTAAAGATGAAATGAAATCAGGCATTTTTTAGAACTATTCACCCTCCCGAAATAGCTCCCTTTTGTCAAGTTAGCTCGCAATTGTTGGTCGTCTTTGTAGGCTCTTGCTAAGCCCCCTTGCCGGTGATTTGTGACAGTGTTAAGTTGTGCTGATGCAGGTAATTGTACTGGCGGTGATTGGTGGGAGGGGGGGAGCTTAGGCCTGGCACAGTATGGACACAGCACAGCTTCTAACTGAAGAGCCTCACTTGACCACTCGAACATCGTTGCGTCGACGTTAAGGGTTATCCCCGGCGTGACTGTGTTTATGTACGTGTGTGTCTGCGTGCCTTTGTGAGTGAAGGGTCACTACACAAGCCAATCAGCAGCGTGTCTGGGCTAGCGCACTTCAAACGGCGCTCTTCACTTCTGTGTAGCACTACAGTGATTAGCTAAGGTCAATAGAGGGGAGAAGGACTGGCTTTGGCAGCTCCATTAGTTGGTTAAGTGAGCTATTGCAGACAAATGACTGCTTATGGTTTAGGAAGCAAAATGTCAAACAACAAAGGCTGCAGATGTTAGATTTGAGTAACTTGAATTTACATGTGTGTACAAATGTAGACTGGCATATCGTATGGATTATTTCATTTGCACAATGATTTACTAAATACTTTCTGTCAGGTCATTTTTATTTAAAAGTATGATCTTATGATGAAATTTATTTTTATTTGGATTAAGTCAAATTTCTAAAAGGTTGTCCATTTTGTAATCAAATTCTTATCACCCCAGTTTTCTATTTGTGTGCCCCTTAACTACAAATGCTGCAAAGATGCTGCACTACCTCCAACAATTAGAACCACTCGTTCAAACATCTGAACATGCACCAAACTCTGTAAACTGGGTCCTAAGACTGAAGGGCTCCTTTGGGTAAAAGAGATTTGAAGATATTTGAAACAAAACACTAATTTGTGCTTAAATGTAAACAAGTAAAAAAATAGCTTTTGTGTTTTTTGTTTTTAACTGTACCTGTAATGCTATACTAATCAGTTCTGGTCTTTGAATGCATGCTTCAGTGCTGTGACGTTTCTGCTAATGCGTGTTATGTGCATTAGGATGAGGAGACAGGAAAACAAAGACATGCGTGTATTGTTTGATCTTTGAGGGGCATTTATAAAGTAAAACTGCGTGTGAATATCGTGCATGCAGACGAGCAAGAGAAGTTGGGGTCGTGTGCTGACAGCTGGTCCAGTGATTAGACCATGGACTGATAATGGAGTGGATCAAAGCTCTTTAGGAGGGCCCCTGAGGGACCTGTCCATGCCCCTGGACCACTGCACTCTGTGTGCGTGTGTTATGTGCGTGGTGCTGATTAGATGACGTGGCGAAAAAGGAAAAGCTTGACAGCTTGCAAGATGTGTGTGTAGCCAAGTCTGCATAGGCTTTGCTGGAGTACTTTCTAGTTAGACTTTTTACGTGTGCTGGCAGAAAAAAATCTAGACGTAGGAATTCATTCATTGCATCACTGCATTGATATTAAATCACAATGACTTGATGCACTGATCTAATAAAAACGGCTGAATCAAAGTGACGTCAGCAGTAATACACAACATGCAGTCATTGCATCAAATTGTGCTCTTAAAATTAAAATCACAAAGAAAACAGAGAATCACTCTTGAACCCTTTAATCATTTCTAAGCCAGCAGTTCAGGTACCTACCTACAAGGAAAATAAGTCTGAAATGACATCAAATCCTATGATGATGTGTTTTGGTTTTTGACAAACCAAACACAGAGACAGGCTAGAAGAGTGTCTCAGTGTGTGATGTACAATATTTTACCTGAATATCTGCATCAATGTGCATTAAATAACTAGTATTTCCTAAGTTTAAGTCATCAACTTCAGATTAGTCTCCCTGTTTTCCACTTCACTGACAAGCAGCAGCTTCATGTTCGACCCAGCGGATGAAGCCTGAACGTATTCTAAAAATGGTTGTTAACGCTCTCCGACATGGATGTCACTACAAACTGGTGCCAATCCCAGCAGTGCATGCAGTTTGCATTTAGGGAGGGTCAGCCTTCAGCAACGTGTCATTAAAAGAAGGCTTGCATTGCTACAACATACACACACAAAAACACACCATCTGTCCCATCAGCACAGAGTAGATTAGAATGTAGGGGGGGGGCTCAGGAGCTTCAGTGCTGCTGGTGGGAAGCTTACACTCAGTTGGGGTTAATTAGAATTGTCATTGGCTGAGGAACGTACGCAGTTATTAAAGATGTGGCGCGAACATTTCCTGACGAAAGAATTCAGCTGTTTTATGTAGATTTTTTACAACTAAAATACCTAACAAAGTATTTCTAGTTTTAGCGTAAATTGGATTCCTGCTTTTCTGAAATCACAATTTATTCTAATGAAATTGTAAACTATTGGGGGTCTGTTATATAAGGAGAGACCTATAAAGAAATGTAGATGATAAAGCTCTATATCATACTAGTAGGAAATTTATTCAGTGCTGATGCTAATTTAAAATAGAGCAACTAATAAAATGCTAAATCTGGGATTTAACATTAAACTGTGCAAACGCTGTAATTAAAAGTGTGCTTTGCGTGTTACTTCAGTGTTGATGTGTTCATGACATTATGTGGGATGAATAGTTACCTGTGGCATCTTGAACCCCTGCCAGTGCCCCGACAGCAGCTGCTGTCTCTGCCAGGACAATCTGCCCTCCTCCTTGTAGAGTGGCTTCTGCCAACGTCGCTACAGCATGTGCCGCTGCCTCACTGCAACACACACAATACATGCAAAAACGTGTCCAATTTAAAATACATTCTCACAAGAAGGATGCTGATATTAAGGCTTTCA